GAGGCTCGCTGTGCCCAGGCAGGCTCGCCTTAGGTCTCCCTGCCGCCCAGGCGCCCTGGCTCATTGTCCCGGAGACATGGGCGTTCTGTTCTGAGCTTGTCCCTCCACGCTTGCATTGACGCGACAGACACACGAGTTCCTGGCGCCAAGCAGCAGGCACACCTGGGCAGTCCCACGTGGGAGCCGCAGACACAGGGGCCCCTCTCCCCTTTGCATGTGGAGAGCTATTCTAAGTCAGCTCTTGCCTTTGTTGTCCCATACCTGTTGGGACAAGAGCTGAGCTGTGTGTCCTTGGGGAACTTGCTTAACTTCTCTGAGCCCTAGATATGTCGTCTGCCAAATGGGAATGATGATAGTACATACCAGCCTCATTGGGTTGAAGGAGGAATTAGATAAGATGAAGGCTATAAGGTGTTAAATCCCGGCGGTTGTTAGGACTCACCCAGTAAAGGATAGCCATGATGGTGCTCACAGATGGGAGAACCGCAGGAAAAAGCCCCAGCTGGGCTGGCGGAGTCCTTGACTGCCGCAAGGACTCGGCTTCCAGGATGTTGTGTTTATTTTTTTTCCCCCTCCCTCTATATCATATTCATCCTTTCTGCAATATCCCTGCTCATCCTTCCACCCTCCAACGAGGGCCCGCAAACTTCATCCATTCATTCAACACGCATCTCTTGCTGTTTTTGCCTAGTATACGGTGGCCCCTTTTCACTGAGCGTGTGGCTCCCCAGGAGCATTACCCAGGCTGTGAAGCCCCACCTGCGACCTCCCAGCCTCAGCTGCTGCTGGCTCTGGCCCCTGACTCATTGGTAGAGGTCACTTCCTGCCTGGGTGTCTCCATCTGTACTGTAGGGATAAGAGGCTGCCTCTCTCCCGTCTCTTGGGACCAGCAGATGATGAGTCAGATAACGGTGGGGGAAGCCCCGAGAAGCCAAAAGAGGCTCTTCCCAGAGCCGGGGCCCATCTGGCTGATGCAAGGTTTGGGTTTTGCGGGTAATCCAGTAAGATGCTTCAGGGAAAGTGTGATCAAGCAGGGAGAGCACAGAGTTCCCATCCCCGTGTCTCCCCCCACCCCCCGTCCCCCCGCCCCCCACCCGCCAGATAGCTGGGCTGTGGAGAGCGTGGAGGGTGTGTGTGTGAGGCTGGGCTTGGTCCGGGATCTGCTTTCTCCAGCTCTATGGCCACTGGCTTGTTCATGATCCCTTTGATCTGCTCGCCTTTTCTGTCAAGTGGGAGTTGCTGTTTCCCTCACTGGTGGCCCCAGGAGAGGGCGTAGCACATTCCGTGTTTCTGGGACGGCCCCTGAGGGCTGGTGGGGACTCAGCGTGAGGGCGGTGAGACAGAAGGAAGGTGGCCTGGCCCCCAGTTAGAGGTGTGGCACCTGCTAGTCACCCAGGCTGGTGTCCAAGGACCCTCCCCCAAGAGTCAGAGATCATCATACCCTGAACTAACTCCAGACTTAACAGGCCCCCAGCTGCACCCCATAATGCACGTGAATTTGCCTCAGATTTGGGTCCAAATCCCCTCGGCTAGCTGTATGATGTTAAGCAAGTTACTTAGTGTCTTTGGGCCTCCATTTTTCCACATGGAAAATGGAGACAGTAATGCCTGCTTTCTTAGGCTACTGTGAGGATAGGAGGGAACAAGGTAAATACGTTCACAATCGTGGCCATCACTGTTACACCGTGCAGCTCCTCATCCCTACCTGCCTTCACCCTCTAGCTCTAGCTCTCATAGGCTGGGCAGGGAGAGTATTTGTTCCCATGGCCAGAAAGTGGCAGTGTCGGGACTTAACCCAAAGCCGCCATGACGGCAGACTGTCCCAGCACAAGGGGTCCTCCCTGCGTCTTGTGTTTCTGCCCTCGCTGTTGGCCTGCCCTTTCCTTGGGGGCCTCTTTTTTCTTTCTTTTTTTTTTAATTATTTTTATTAACATATAATGTATTATTTGCCCCAGGGGTACAGGTCTGTGAATCATCAGACTTACACACTTCACAGCACTCACCATAGCACATACCCTCCCCGATGTCCATAACCCAACCACCCTCTCCTTACACTCCTCCCCCCAGCAGTCCTGTTTGTTTCGTGAGACTAAGAGTCTCCTATGATTTGTCTCCCTCCTGATCCCATCTTGTTTTATTTTTTCCTTCCCTTCCCTGCAAGCCCCCCACCCTGCCTCTCAAATTCCTCATATCAGAGAGATCATATAATAATTGTCTTTCTCTGATTGACTTATTTCACTCAACATAATACCCTCTAGTTCCATCCACCCCGTTGTAAATGGCAAGATTTTGTTTCTTTTGATGGCTACATAGTATTCCATTGCGTGTGTGTGTGTGTGTGTGTGTGTGTGTGTGTGTATCAATCACATCTTTTTTATCCATTCACCTGTTGATGGACATCTGGGTTCTTTCCATAGTTTGGCTATTGTGGACATTGCTATAAACATTGGGTTGCACGTGCCCCTTCGGATCACTACATTTGTATCTTTAGGGTAAATACCCAGTAGTGCAATTGCTGGGTAATAGGGTAGCTCTGTTTTCAACTTTTTGAGGAACCTCCATGCTGTTTTCCAGAGTGGCTGCACCAGCTTGCATTCCCACCAGCAGTGTAGGAGGGTTCCCCTTTCTCTGCATCCTTGCCAGCATCTGTCGTTTCCTAACTGGTTAATTTTAGCCATTCTGGCTGGTGTGAGGTGGTATCTCACTGTGGTTTTGATTTGTATTTCTCGGGGTCCTCTTAAGACGTCCCCAAGGCAAGTCATGAACCCCATTTCCTGACCTTCCAGGGTGTGACTCCAGCACACAGTAGGTCCTCAGTCCGTGCTGGTGACGAGGGAGATGAGCGCTACTAGAAGGAAATGATTCAGAGGCCGCCTGAGTGTGGGGCCATGTCTGCGTGTCCCTGTATGTGTTTCGGTGTGTGGGTAGGGCAGGGAGCCGAGGTAGTTCTGTGGAGATGATGTGGGAGGTGAATCCTGGCTGCTGATCCGTCCCCGCTCCCTCTGCCAGTCCCGGTGAGGGCCAAGCCTTCCGAATCACACACCACGCATCCTCCCACCCGTCCCCAGGCTCCGTCGTCTTTTAAGCTCCCACACCACCAGCACTGCTTCTGGGTCTCAGCCTTCAGGATGCCTCCTCCACACCTCAGCTCTCTCTGCTGAGCCTGGGAAGGGGGAGGCCAGGGGTCTCCGGCCATCCTGCTGCTGGGCCTAAGGCAGGCACCTGGCGGGGGCCACAGTTGCTGTCAGCTCGGAGGAGAAGCTGGCTCCTCCCTTGCCCCAGGAGAAGCTCTTTGGGTATCTCCACTGGTGGAGGCCCTGCTATTTTTAGATGCCGTCCCCTCCCTGTCCTTCCCAGCCTCATAACCAGCTGAGGGAGGAAATGACTCACCTCGAAGTCAGACAGGTAGAGGCAGCCTCAGTGAGTCCTGGGTGGACTCTGCCTGGCTCCAACCCTAGGGTTGCCCTACCTGGGGTCACCCGGAGTGGTGTGTCCCCCAGCGTGAGGATAGAGTTGGCTTGGGATTGAGGCACAGGACCCCACTAGGCCTTTCTTGGGCTCTCTCTGCTATGTATCTCACAGGGCCTCGGGCAGGACTGGGCCTCCAGCAGGTCGTTTACAGGGCCTAGGGCAGACTCTGGGCCTCTGACCCTACTGTTGGCCTATGGTAGTCCCCAGCTCAGTCTGAGGGGGCCAGACAGGTTGAAGGGACTGACTACGGTCCTCTCCCTTAGCCTTAGCAGAGACTAGAGTTCCAGAAAAAGGAAAGACCCTGTTGAGTGAGGGGAAGGGAAAGGGGTGATGACCTTGCCTTTGTGTACACTGAGTAGGGGGACCAGTTGTCCTGGTTTTCCCAGGAGGAATTTCTTGGAACCTGGGACTTTCAGTGCTAACTAGGAGAATTCTGATCTGCCTTGTCACCCTGGTGCTGAGTCCTAGGCTGTATCTTAGTGAAGGGGCAGGTGTGAGGAGCCTCCTGGGATTTGCTGTTCTAGTCCCACCTAGTCGGTGTGGGAGAACCAAGTTCCTGGGTCTGTGCCATCTCTGCAGCTGGGGGTTCTGTTTACCTCCACAGGAGAGGGGCCAGGCCAAGAGCTCTGGGCCGCCCGAGAGACCAGAGAGGCACTTTGGTTGTCTTTGCTAAAGCTGGTGAGGGGAAGTGTGGGCCAGTCAGCACAGGGCCAGGCGCGGGGGTAATCAGAGCTGCTCTGCGGGGAGGAGGGCAGCTCCCCAGCACGAACAGAGGAGCAGGCGATGATGATGAGAGCACACGGTTTGCGTCAGGGAGACACTGTGCCAGGCCCACTTCCCGCCGGTGCCTCAGTGTCCGCACCTGTAAGAGAGGGAAGAGGGGTACCTGCCTGCTTGCCTCCAATACCTGCAGTGAGGAGTCTGAGGTGATTCTGGGGCTGGGCCGCAGACTGGAGAGCAGGGGCTGTGCTCATTGTTGGCTGGAAAGGCCTAGTCAGGCCTGACAACTCGAAAAGCTCTCCATTGCTCAGGGAGGTGGGCAGAGGATGACTTTGCCCTCCTGTCTTCCCAGATCAGCCTCTGGGCTGCCTGCCTTGGGAGAACATGGTTCCTGGCCCTGGAGGCCTCACTTCTGTCTGGGCTCACATCAGGGAACTGAGGCTGAGGCCCAGACCTTGATGGGGGCATCCCCCTGCTTCCCCCGTCCCACAACACACACACTTGGCGGTTGTCCTCTTCATCCTCAGGATAAAGGCTTCTTGTCCCCGAACCAGGGGTGAGTGGCCCAGGCAGCAGGTCTGTCACAACTGAGCTGAGTGAACTTGAGCAAGCTACTTCTCTTTTCTGGGCCTCAGTTTCCTCGTTGGTGAAATGGTGGGGTTAGATTAGTTCTCTGGTTTTTAAATATTTGCTTTAGTAGTGAAACCTCTTGTCCAATCAAAGCTCTAACTACACTCAGAGAAAGAGAGAACTGTGGGCAATGTGAAGCATAGGCGGGGCTGGAACACTGTGCTCCGCTCCCCCCGCACCCCTAGTGGCCCAAGGACTTGAGGGGACACTGTTTGAGAACCCCTCTTCAGGGTGGCTGCCATCTCTGTAACACTCTTTTATTTGTGGCTCAAGGGCAAGGATGTCTTGTTTCCCTCCCCGGGCAGCCCAGTAATTAGACCACAAGCCTAGTCCTTTCTGGCACCTTCTATCCAATGTAGAAATCCTCATATTCTCTGACTCCTGGTTCCTGTTGACCCCGAGGTCTGTCTCGGCCCTTGTTACCTAGTTCAGTGGGGCCAGAGGCCCTTTGTCCCTTCTTAAGGACCTTACAGGAACAAAACATATGCCACAGATAAGCTTCTGGGGTGCAGTTCTGGGCTCCACATACCCCCTGTCTTGTGTCCCCGCCCTCCAGCCTGCAGGACAAACCTGAGATTCCCATTTGACAGTAGAGAGAATGGCCTTAGGGATCTTAATGAGAGGGGCACAAGATCCCTTTGCTTGGAGGCGCAGAGCTGAGTGCCTAGTCAGGAGCCCTGGTCCTCTCCCTAGGCTTTCCCTAGCTTACCCCTGGGATGCCGGCATCCGAAGGTACCAAAAACAGAAAAAGCAGGAGAGCCAGGAAAGAGGGCACTCTCCTCACCCTGGGGGTCTAGGGCAGGCATTCTTTCCAGAGAACCAACCTCCCACCTACTGTCTTCCCTGCTTCAGAGAGGGGCAGGGAGGGCAGCGGGAGGGAGAGGCCAGGTCTCACAAGCAGAGACTGCATAAACAGGTACAGGACAATGCCAGGCACCAGGCAGCTGACGCGGGGTCACCCAGGGGCCCTCTGGAGAAGGGGGTGGTGCCTGCCTTGACATCAGCAGCAGCCTGGAAGGACATGCGGTCTTCTCTGGCTCTCTTGACAACAGGCGGGGGGTGAGGAAGGGCAGCCAGAGGCCCCTCTGCCCCCCATCCCATGTGTCCCTCCAACCAACTGGGCTGGAAACACAAGCCCAGGCAACATTTCCTCGAATCGTGTGACAGCCTCGGCCAGTCGGCTCCGGAGCTAATAATATGAACAGATGTGGGTCAGGCCACTCCATCCCGTGGCTCAGAGCCAGTCCTGCCACGAGCACCCTAGGCTGCCCATGAGCTGGGCTCAAGTCCTAGGGTCCTGGGGTGAAGCTGGGTTGGGGGGTACCCCAGCCCCTGGGCTGGCCTGTTTGTCCAAGGCCCACCCTGGTGAGGCCAGCAGCCCTGACTCCAAAGTAAACGGAGGCTGACATTAAGGACGAAACTGGTAAGTTCTGTGGGAGGAGGGGAATAATTAGACCACATATTTTAAAACGATACAAGAGAAAAGCACTTCCTTATGTATGATTTCAAAATTATAACAAAATAATTTTAAGTGATACAAGTGAAACAGGATACAACTGTCCTTTACATCTGAGGCTTGAAACCTGATCTCTAGACTTTGTGCCCAGCGGCTTCAGTGCTGAGGGAGGGAGACTGAGGTCTGTAGCTATGCGGACAGAAGCAGCCCGAACTCTTTGTGTGCCACTTCGAGCCTGGCGCTCACAGCCTGAACGCCACCGACACAGTTTTTGCCCACATGGCCAAGGGCTGGCGGTCGGCCTACCAGTGGTGGCCAGGGCAGTATGGGGGCAGTATGGAGGCAGCCGAGGGCCGGACATGGCTGTGAGCCCAGGAATGGCTGGTGCCACAGGTGCAGGCCTGAATGCTGGAGAGGGTGTCCCTACAGCCCGCAGTACCCATCCCACAGCGATGAGCCCTATTTGTGACTCTCCCATCAGCCCCTGGTGTGCCCGTCCTCACTGACGGAGAGCACACATGGGGCACTTTCAGCAGGCCTCTGCTTTCCCCAGGAAGTGGATAGAAGGCCCTTCTCGAGGAACACCTGGGTGGCTCAGTTGGTTAAGTGCCTAAATCTTGGTTTGGGCTCAGGTCATGATCTCAGGGTCATGGGATCAAGCCCCGCCTTGGGCTCCATAGTTAGTGCAGAGTCTGCTTAAGATTCTCTCTCCCTCTCTATCTGCCCCTCCTGCTTGTGTTCTCTCTCTCTCTAAAATGGATAAATGAATCTTAAGGGAAAAAAAAGAAAGGCCCTACCCAGTGTTTATCCCACAAGACTGGTCATCTTCCAGCGCCGGCCAGCAGCACGCAGGTGGCACACCTTGCATGAGCCCTCTCGGGTCTTGGAAAAGTGTCCCTAGTACTGTGTGTGGGTTTATGGCTGGCTGCCAAGCGCCCTACAGGGTGACCGTGGGCAGTGTTGGCGTGGAGAAGGCAGTGGAAGGAGAGCCATGAGAGGCCATCAGAAAGGTGTGTGGACGCTGAAGGGGGGCCCCTTTCTTCCTTCAGCTGTGTTCGTGGAGGCCCCACGGTGCCCAGGCCGGCAGCACTGAAGCAGCCGGACAGGCCCCAGGCAGGCTCTTGCCTCTCCAGGGTGCAGAGCCTTCATCCAAGAACTACACAAACACCTCTGGACTGACGGGGTGAGAGCGCGGGGCTGGGCCAAGGCTGTGGGAACATGGCAGGCCTCCCAGAGGAGTGGGGTGGCGGAGCAATGGGAAAGCCGCTGGCAGAAGGAACTGGGGCAGCATGTCAGGGAAGGGTGCTTGGAGGAGGCTCCAGCGGGCAGCCAGGTCAGAGCGGGAGGGCCATGGGCATGAACCAGGAACCCAAAAACAGCCTCCCTCCCTCCATCGGGCCTCCATGTTTCCATCTGTAAGAAGAGCCCACTGGCACCCTCCTGTGCTGCTCAGACATCCATCTCCTGGGCTCCCTCACTGTGTCTGTCAGAAAAATGGCAGGAATCCAGTTAAAGGAATGGGCTTGCTGACCAGACTCCCTGAAGGCCCTGAGCCTGGCCCCTTGCCCCTCCCAGCACCAACTGCCCTGGGGAGCTGTACACCCTGCCTGTCCCCAAGGGCAAGCCCAGCCAGATAGTATCTCTGCCTTCCCAGAAACAAACCATGGCAGGGGAAGCTGGGGTAAGGAAGGACACCATGTGGCAGTCAGGACCCCACTCTCCTCACAAGCAAAGCCCCAACTCTTGGACTCTGGGGGGGTTGCTGCTCGGTCATGGGGGTCCTAGACAGTAGGCTGCCTTTCTCATACCCTTTGTTATGTCTGGGCCCTGGACCTTTATTTCCCAGCTAAACAGCTGTGGGGTGATACAAGCTACAGGAGGCCCTGGCCTTGTTGCTGGGGAAACAGTCCTCCACGAGAGGCTGGGTGACAGGGTGACCGTTCGCACACGACCTAGGCCTCCAGCTTTGTTCCCGCCACCTGCCTCCCTCATGGCTAGCCTTAGAGGGTTCAGGTGTGCCCGCCAACCTCCCCGAGGGCAGGACCCGGCACCCTCGAATGTGGTTGCCTCCGTGCCTCCCCAGCTCCAGGACTTTGCTCACAACTGCATGTCAGGGAAGGGTGCTTGGAGCACCCACTCCACCCCCAGCCCAGTGGGACTCCCCGCCCTGTCACAGGCTCCAGTTCCTTTACCCAGACTCCCCTGGTCGAGCTGCTCACACCTGCCGCACTCCCAGCTTTGTTTCCATCGCTGTCCCCCGCCCTCTGGGTTCTGTCAAACTCCTCCCTGCCCGGTTGCCACTTTTGTGGGTTCAGGGCCTGGAATGGGGCTTGAGCTGCCATATTAATCTTTGGCAACTGAGGACATGTAACAGCACTTAGAGCTTCTCGTGTCCCAGACAGCATTTAAGAGAATGCTTTTACTCCCCACTGTAACCCAGTGAGGTAGGTGGTTTTATGACTCTCGTTTTAAAGATGAGGAAACGGAGACAGAGGGAGGTTAAATGACCTGCCCAGGGCCACCCAGGACATGGATGCAGCTGCGGGGTCCACACTGAAAACCAACAACTGACTGGTCTATTATGTGGTCTCCTGGGGATGATGTCAACTCAGGGAAGCTGCCGTCACAACGGGGCAGACACATCTGTAATTGTGGGAGAGGGTGCCCCTGCCCCTCTGGGAAACCTGTCCCCAGCCTGAGCCCCTCAGATTAATTACCGTTTTCCCTTTTCCACCCTTCTGGACAGGCCTCCCACCATTTACCTTGACACAAGTGGGGTTAATCTTCTGGAGCACAGTGAATCCAAGTTCAGCAAATGTTTGCAGAATGATTGCTTTGCTACTTAGACCCGGAGGACATGCAAATTTCTTGGGGACCCTTGGGCATCATCTTGCCTTTCCCCAGGCTTCAGTTTCCTGTTCTGGGTGTGACATCTGGTAAGGATTCTGAGTTGCTCCAGTAGTGACACTGTGTCAACAGTCTATTTACCTGAGTCCTGGCACCGCCGTCTGGGTGTCTAGCCTGGACAGCGGGGTGACTTTGCCCAGGGAACTTGGGGCAAGGAGATTCCAGTGGGCCAGGGCACGTGCTCCTTGCCCCAGGGAGCAGGTCCCTTCTGGAGAGCTGGGGGCAGCCTGGGACGAGGAGATAAGCGGGCAGGTCCTGGGAGCTTGGATGAACTAGTAGCTTTTTTGCCACCTGAGAGCGGGTGGGGACACTTGTCAGAGGCTTTTTTTGCAGCCAACAGTCGGCTAGAGTCTGGCCCGCCCCCTCTGGCCTGCAGAGGGTAGGGGGATGGGAGGAGTGAAAGGGGGTGGCTGGCGACGCCTCTGCCAACTGCCGCTAACAAGTGGCAGCTCGCAGACCAGGCAGAGCCAGCGGCGGCGGTGATCCTGGGCAGGGACAGCCAATGAGCTCCCCGGCTGCAGTGGCACCACCAGGCAGCCTGGCCGTCTTTGGCTGGAGAGGCAGCGGGAGGGGCCTCAGGCCGCCAGTCAGGGCCGCGGGGTCCTGTCTCTGGGAGGCCCGGGCAGATCCGTGGCTCCATTCACAGAAAGCTCTCGTCGGGCAGCCACATTTTTAACTTCTCCGACCTGGAGGAGGAGGGCGGGCTGTGGGAAGTGTGTCTAGAAGACTGTGCAGGCGGAGATGGAAAAAACTCGAACTTTCCCCCTGCTCTGGATCCAGAGTGGGCTCTAGCTCCCAGCTGGGGAGGAGGGAAGATTCTCAATGTTTTGCTCACAGGAGGGATGGAGAGGGAGCAGGAACCAGGGGAAGCAGAGGTTACCAGGGACCCCAGAATCCTGGCCTGAGCCCCTTCCCCTTTGCCTGGAGTCAGCCTTGGAAGAACACTTGTGACCAAAGTGGCTGTCAGCTGGGGCAAGGGGTGGGGACGACATTTGGGCTGGTCACCCAGG